GGGGCCGCCTCCTGGCCTGCGGGTGGAGTAGAAGCTTCCGAGCAAAGCCCAGGCCTGACGCGCCCGCTGCCCCCAGGCGAGCTGGAGGGGCCGGGTGCTGGCGCGGCTGACAGGGCCTGTCGCTGGGGCAGCTGGCGCCCGGGGACAGAGGGAGGAAGGCCAGGGGGTCCCCAGAAGCAGCCCCCTGGGCACTTCCCCGTGAAGCAAGTCCCGGACGGTGAGACTGCGGGTCACAGGGCTCGGCCTTGACCCTCAACACCCCCACAGTTAAGGAGGTCCCAGTGCACGGGGGAGATGCAGAACGCACACGGCTCTCAAGAGCGGGGCGAGCCCGACTGCTCCCACTTCCCAGAAAGGCTGGACTCCCAGCCGCCAAGCTCCCTGGGTTACCGGGGTTCGGGGGACGGGTGCTCCCGCGCCTGCCTCTCACCGCGGCACGTTCACCATCTCTCCCGTCGTTGCAGCAGATGACCCCCCCCGAACAACGAGGCTGTCTCCGCGCAGGGAAGCTGTTCCACGGGCCGATCTGGCCCGACCACACCGCCTCTGGGGGGCGACCACGCTGAAGGCCACTGGCCCATGAGGAAAGCGCTCTGAACTGCAAACCAGGGACCCTGCAGGTGCTGCCACCCAAACACAGGCGTTGTCATCACCGACCCCACCTCCCCAAAGCATCAGGGTGACTGACACGCAGCCACACGCTGTCAACTTCAGCCTTGGGGACACAGTTCTGTGCGCGCCACAGTCACACAATCCACGTGTGGAACAGGCACTCCCTCCTCCAAACTGCTCCGTGCCCTCTGAGGCCAGGCCCTCCCCCAGCCCCAGCCCAGCACCACCCCCAACCATTTTCTGTCCCCGCAGCTTGGTCCTGCCTTTCCAGATGCTGCAGAAATGGGCCAAACAGCTTGAGTCTGGCTTCTTCCCCTGAGCTTAACGTGCTTGAAATTCATCCGTGGTGTGTACGCATCAGTTTATTTCAAACGCTGTTTTCTGGTGGCCAGTGTTCCGTCACGCGGCCCTAGCACAGTTCACTCACCAAGGGAAGAGTATCTGGGATGCTCCCGGTGCCTGGAGACTAAGAACAGAGCCACTGTGAACCTCCACACCCAAGCCTTCCTCTCTCCCGGGAGAACACCCAGCAGCAGGGCCACTGGGCTCCGCGTAAGCGTGTTTAATTTTGCAAGAAAGAGCCGAGCGTTTCCAGGGCGCCTGCAACATCCTGCCTTTGCACCAGCACGGCGTGCACCCTCGGGAAGCACCTGGTGCCGACAGACCCGAAAGCGCCAGCCCTTCTCGCCGACGCGCCGCACCTCACTTGCCGACTCGACTTCCCTCGCAAACAGCCGCTGTGACGTACGTGTCTCTCCCCGTGCTGCCCTGCCGTCTGTGTGTCTGTCTGGCCGAGCGTCTGCAGATCTCTTGCTCTGGTTTTAATTGGGTGGTTTGTTTCCTGGTTATGGAATTTCGAGAGCTCTTTACGTAAACAGGACACAAGGTTTTATCAGATGTGCGTTTCGCAGTCTTCCCTTGGTCTGCGGCTCGTGTTTTCCTGTTCTTCACCGAGTCATGACGAGAGCACATGTCACTCTCAGCGTGGTCCAACTGGTCATTTTTTCTTGTGTGGTTTGCACCCTGCGTCTTAGTAAAGAAATCACCGCCTAACCCAAGGTCAGGAAGGTGTTCTTCCGGACGTTTCGTGGCTCCAGGCTTCCCCTTTAGGCAGTGAGTTGTTCACAAGGTGGGCCACCCTCTCTCCGCCGGACTGAACGGTCCCGGTCCGCGCGCCCCCGTGGGAAGCCAGCAGGACGGACGGACGTGGTCAGCTGCCGGACGCCAGTCCGCCCACGTCTGCGTGTGTCCACACACCACCCACGCCGTGACCACTTCACTTTACGGTGCGCCCCGAAGCCAGTCAGCAAGGGCCTCCGAATTTGTTCTACTTCAAAGTCGTTCCGGTTATTTTAGTTTATTTGCTTTTCCCCGTACATTTTAGAACAGGCTTGTCGACCAAGAAAAAAAGCCAGCCTATCGGGATTTGACTGAGATCGCACTGATCTTCACACCACTTCAGGGAGCACTCACGTCTTACGTTTATTGAGTCTTTCAGCCCAGGAACACGGTCTGCATTGATTCATGTCTCCTCTGATTTCTTTCATCACTGTTCTGTATTTTTCACCATTTGGATCTTTTTTTTTAGATGTATAGCTAGTTTTTCATGTTTTGGGGGGTGGTGTTGTAAACGGTTTAATCTCAATTTCCAGTTGTCTGTCTAAAAATTAACAGATTTTTGTACAACGACCCTGTATCCTGCGATCTTACTAGACTTTCTCATCCCAGCAGCATTTTGCAGATTACTTGGGACTTCCCACGCGCACGGTCACGCCGGCCGCGAGCAGGCTTATTTCCACGCGCGCAGTCACGCCGTCCGTGTACACCCCCTTGCCTTGCCCTCGCCAACCCCGCCCCTCCCCACCGTGGATGCTGAATGGGAACGGTGAGGTCAGACATCCTTGCCTTACACCTGATTTTAGAGAAAAAACACTCAGTCTTTTACCCGTGAAAAAATGTCAACTGCAGGGTTTTGTAGGGGCCTGCGTGAGGGTGAAGGAGGTTCCTTCTGTCCCTACTTTGCTGACAGTTTTTACTCTGTTGCATTCCATCAAGTCCTTTCCGTGTAGCTACTGAGATGATCACGCAATCATGCCGCTACTGAGATGATCACGTGGTTTTTCTTTATATGATACAGAAATGACACATTCAATTATATGATTAAAGGCATTCAATCCACTCTGCGTCCTTGGGGTAGAACCCACTTGGTTACGTGCTGCTGCGTTTGACTTGTTAATATTAACGGTATGCCGAGGATTTGGGG